TCTGTGATTCTGTGATTCTGTGATTCTTTTAGCTCATCTGTTTGTATGATTTAAAATATAATTAATTTACAGTTGTTTCTTAATGTCTGAATAGGTTTTTCACTAACCTGGAGAATTGGCTATTTTTGTTCATTACTGCTGAAGTACTGCCAAAAGTACAGGCTGCCTAGGGAGTCTGTGGAGTCTCCTTTTCTGGAGACCTTCAAAACCGCCTGGACGCATTCCTGTGTGACCTAGCCTAGGTGATCCTGCTCTGGCAGGGGGGTTGGACTAGATGATCTTTCGAGGTTCCTTCGAACTCCTAATATTCTGTGATTCTGTGATTTTGTGAAAGTACGATGCTGATGTTCCTTTGTATGTTAACTCTTAAAAACTCATTCCTGAACTAAGTCTCTGACGCAAAATTTCGTGCCCTCACTTATCACTCCCCACGTAATTACTGCCTTGTCCCTGCACCAGGTTTCCTTGTGTGAGTTCTCCTGGTGGCCCAAGCTAAATAATTCATGGTCCAAATTCATAAGGCTTCCCACATTTTACTGCTTTCTATTTCTCTTCCTTTTTCTCCGTACCTTACAGGAATCCTATTAGGCTGAATGCATTTATTTGGGTGGCCCCTCCTTGCCTTTCTCCCAGGTTCCCTCATGCTGCCACTAAACCCAGAAATCCTTACCTAACATTTGCCTGTACTGAGAACAACATCCTCCCTTTCCTCTAGGAAAAAACTTTAATGCATTTTCTAGAAATTCATATGGAGGTTTTGAAACAGTGACTGAGAGAGGATGGTTTTGGATGCCCTGGCCGCTGTAGCCAGTGGAGCAGGCAAGTGCAATGCTGAGCAGGTCATGCGGGGATGCTTGCTTGTTTTGGCATGCCTCACGTTGCTCCATATCTCTTATCTCGTTGCAGACTCACTCCATGCTGCTGTTGACCTGTGTCACCCATTGCAGCTCTCATGGCTGTCTAGTGCATCCACTTTTCCCTATTTGCTTTTGAGCCAATTTCAAAAGGGCCATTTTGTCTGTGCATGAGGAAGTTAAGTCCTTGAGCAGTCTTTCGCACAGTTCTCCTATGTGGAGCAAGATTTGCCTCACACAATCACAGAATAAGGATCGCAACAGCTAGTCTTCAGGCTGCAAATTAACTTCGTGGACCAGGTCATACTGCACTTTGAAGTTGTTGCTTTTTTTTGTTTGTGTGCTTCCCCCATTTAGCCTTCAAGAATGTAAATCTTTAGGAAGAATTATCGTAGTTTAAAAGGCTTAGACAAATAGCAGCTGGTATTGGTTCATGGTCTCCAATTGGTTCCAGACATCCCTGGTTTTGATAAGACTACAAGACAATCCCAGAAATTCCCTGCCTACAGCTTTTGCTAATGCCATTAAATGTAACATCATGATTACCAATGCTTTTGGAGCTGATTAGTTACACATCCTGCGTGACTGATAAACACAGTAATTTAATTATTTCTTCAGAATGTCCTCATGTTGTGCCCCACTCCCCCTTCTTAGTTTATCTTTATCCTGAAGTAAAACTTAGGAGAAATGTTTAATGGGTGTTTTGAAGAAGGCCTCAGAAGCACAAGGATGCCTGTGTTCAGCTCATGCTCAATGGGAACAAGATGCTCCACTCCAGCAGTGCCCAGAACAAGCCTTGCTCTGTTCCCAAGCTATTTGAAGTTGGCTTGACTCTGTACCCATGGAAGTGTCGTCCTGAAGGGAAAGACTTCACCTGAGCTTTTGGCTTTGTGAAAAGCTTTTGGCTTTGTGAAAAGCTGACAACCATGTTTTCATTCAAGTTGAGTGTCGACACAGAGAAAGAGCTCATCACAAAACTTCCTATTGGAGTCAGCCCATGCATAAAGTACTGGCAAGCAGAAAAATGTTCTGTGAGGAGTGACTGAGAGCACAAAGAATGCAAAGTAAAGGGCAATGATCAAATAAACCCAAGAAAAAGAATTATTATTGTTTCTGATATTATTAATGATATTATTTCTGGACCACAAAGTATGTGTGCTTTGTTTGTCTGTGATGAGAGATTTGATGAGTTTTTTGTATATCTCTGTCCTTTTTCTCTGGACTTTTGTGAATTGCTCTCATGATAAGCTTTTGTAAATTCTGTCATATGCTTTTAATAGTCATACCTTGAAGATTATTTTTTTTTAAGAGTATTGTAAATTATGATTTTGCATTCATGGATGTACAAGATGGTATATTGTCTTCCCTTTTTTTCACTCTCCCTGACAAAGGAGATTACCTCTTACTTCTGAAAGCATAGCCATAACTGGTGCCACAGTTTGTGAGCACATGTGTAAGGAAGCCAGAATAGGTGAGGTCTCAGTTGTAGTACAAGCCTTAGTACCATTTTTTTAACAGAGTCTTTTTCACCCTTTCATTGCTCATTCCTTCATTGTTGAAAGTAAGAGGCAAGATATTTGTTGCATTCTTGTGATATTTGGCAGCATTATATGGAAACTAAGAACTGATTTTGCTTCTAGATGAGCCTGCAGGTCATAGTTCACCTGAGATTTTTATTACATTTTTCCGCTTGCTTTTTGAGTCACAAAGGTGCTTGTCCCAACCTTGGTTAATCAAAACGTGAGGTGATAATGTCCTGTGCACCCAGGGACAGGCAGGGTGTGCCAAAAGATATGAAGTCAATACACATTAGAGAAAACGTGATGAACTTCCTCCACAGCCCTAAACCACCTGTTGAACAACCAACACGCGGTGATTGGAACTGACATTGGAAGATCAGCACTCTCAAGGGATTTTAACAATCTTTGATACATGAACTTAGTGTACATTAACCTAATGGACATGCTTTTTCTGCTTTCCCATGTGTGAATGTGCCTACTCTATTAAACACGGCTGCCTCTTTATTTGCACTGTGTATCAGTATTAATGTATATTGTACAATGTGGGTCAAATTTTAGCTTCTGTCATCTGAGTCTTGATTCAGAATTTTATTTGTCTAGTAAATATTTGAGTCTCTTCACTTTCCTAATTTTACATTGAAACTGGATTAAGCTATCTGTTACATCTGCATGTAACTGTTAGGTATGTTTAAAAATTGCATGAAATGTACGTATACATTCTTGCTTTTGGTCCAATGATTTGCACTGGGCAAATACAGCTAATTTTTGCAGTTTGCCTCAGCAAGCAGAATGTCTTAACAAGTCAGACAAAGAACCGCACACATGTTTGTGTTGCCGATATTGTCTCCTGTTTACAGATGGAGAGGCCGTGGGATGATAGTAAAGAAGGAGTAGGACCTATCAGTTAGCTACTTCACTTTGTGTTAGTGCATTAGTGTCACTAGGCAGCTTTTCTTTCAGACAGCCAGCTCTGTAATCTAAGCTCATAAAAATTAAGGAAACAAAACTAATTCCAAAAAGAGGGAGAGAGAAGGAAAAAAAAAAGAAGCCTTCGTGAACCACAGGGTTGTGTTTTTATGTAACTGCTTTTGTGGCTATCAAACTACCCGAAGTTCATGGTATGTTCATCTTGTCAGTATGCATTTAAGACCACCAGCTTTGTTTTATTTCAAGCCATCTTTTGGGTTGATGTAACACAATATGACTGAATGTGTTTTGGCAGGGAATAACTAATCTAATCCATATACCACCAGATGAAAGTAATTTACTATGGGTTTATGGAAGAGCTCGAAATTTTCAGCACAGCCCACAAAGATATTTTTCCCCTTTTAATTGTCCCTTTTTGTATCTAAACAGATCCAGCAATGGGAACAGAACCTGGAAAAATTTAACATGGACCTTTTCCGAATGCGATGTTACCTAGCTAGTTTGCAGGGTGGGGAGCTCCCAAACCCAAAGAGCCTTTTGGCTGCTGCCAGTCGTCCTTCAAAATTGGCACTGGGGCGGCTCGGCATTTTCTCTGTCTCATCCTTCCACGCACTGGTAAGTCCGAGTGCACTTTTCATGGGTGTGTTACACAAGGCCATTGTTAATATTGTACTTTGATGTGAATTGTACGCAGCTGTACCCACATGCATTGGCTCAGAAAGCCTTGTTTCCCTCTCACCCTTTCTGCCTGTTCCTTGACTGCAAAAAATTTTCTTCTGCAGAGAATTTGAAACCATGAGGAAATGGCCAAAACTTTTCTTTGGCCCCTGAGGACTCCAGAATTGAGTACTTCTGAGCTATGTCTAAAAGAGAAAGAAACCAAAATATTTTTCAGATGTAGATGAATCATTGTGTAGAAGTTTTGTCACTGCAATTTCACCTCCACAGAGTTCAAAGTGCATAGGAGATAAGTCACTTAGCATGAAAAGTGCCCAGCTCTGAAATTTCCAAAAGTGATTTAGGTCCCTCTGGGCTAAGCTGATCTTTTTAGAGGTCCCAGATGGCTCTATTTTTCAGAAACAGTTTGATACCCTTCTGAAGAGGAAATATTTTTAGAATAGACTAAAACTAGAGAGAATAAAAAATTATAAGTCACTTTTTAAGAACAGCGGCCTGTGTTTGCAAAGAAGAATGAGGAAGATCCTCAGCTGCTGCAAACTGTTGTCACCCTCTTGGCTTTAAGCAAAGTACAACAGTAGCAGGTTTGCCTCTGCTCTTTAACCTTGGCAGAGCTTGTGAGGCTGATCTTGGCAGAGAGGGTTGGGCCGCATTTGCTGCATGAGGAGTCAACCTGAATAGTAGTCCTGAAAGTCCTGTCAGGGAATGTGTTTCTCTCTGCCGCTGTTTTTATCTGTGTGGTTTATGTCATTGCTTGTTAATAACTCAATGCCATAGCACATTTATCTCTTATGTTTGGCAATTTTGAGAGTCTTTCTTCGTTTAGCAATTTCATATCTGAATGATAGGTTATCATTCTTCTTTGGAATTTTTTCATTAACTCCTTTTGTTGTACAGAGTGGTGTTTTCTCAGTTCCTTCCTTCCTATTACCTTCTAATTTTGCCCCATGACAAAAGTATTACACTGTCATGCCATTGGAATACCAAAGCAAGCTTCATCGCTGAAAGTTTAAAACGCTGTCCTTGCACATTGGCATATTACATTGAGGTGAACTGAAGTAACTCTCATTTGATGCCTCAAGTTGAAACAACTGGCAATATTTTGCTCTTATGAAAGTGATACAGGAAGGCCTGTCTCTGTATTTAAATAGATCTGCTCCAGGGATGAAGCTGCTCTCAGGAAACGTACCCTATCTCTGTCACAAAGAGTCCGAAATAAGAAGGGTTTATTTTCTTCACTAAAAGGACTGGATACGTTGGCAAGAAAAGGAAAAGAAAAGCGACCTTCCATCACTCAGGTAAGTCTTACTTGCTGGGGAATAGCATAGATGGGCTTGTTTCTCCTGGGACTCATCCTACGAGGTGCTGTTGGTGCACAGGGTAGGAGACGTCTGTCCATCAAATTTGTGTTCGCAGTCTCAGTAGATATGGCAGACTTGTAATGGGACCATCACTTGTAAAGATTATATGTCTAATTTTGGGTTTCTTTGTGATGAATAAGATTGGTGAATAAGAGGTTTTGGCCCAGTTGATTTGTTTATTATCAGCAGCACGAGACCATCAGGTTTGAATTTTTAAGAAAACTTGCCTTCTGGCACATTGCAAACTGTTCGGAGGTAGGGTTTTTCTGGAGAACCTTAACACAGTGTTGTGCTGACTTATCACTGTGACTCCGAATTACTATTGCAATGTAACATAGAGTAACACAAGTGAGTCTTCATGGCAAAAAAGAGGAGAGACTGCTGCAAAGATGGTTGTCTTTGGCATAGCCTCTCAAAGCAACACGACCTGCTTGGAAAAACCTTTTGGCCAACAGGAGAGCACTGATGTCACGCAGGAGGCCAGCTGCAAGTGCAGACAGCTGACTAATAAACCCATGCCAGTTTACACCATCTGAATGTTTGTTGCAGGTTTGAGGTGCACTCACACTCAGAACATAATTATTTTCACTATCCTTTGCAATGTCTGCTGTTTCTTCTGCAAAGCCATATTTTGTGCATTGTTCATTAGGTTACTTTGCTTCTGCTGTTCCCTGGCCCTTGCATTTTGATTTTATTAGTCAAAATTCTATGATCAGCAGTTGAAAATTGGCTGTTCTTGCATATCTGATAATCTGCTTGTGGCATATTTAAACAAGCCTGTCTGTACTCATACTGCAGTATTCCCAGAGCTGATGCAACAGATTTAGTGTTGCAAAATAACACATCAGGACTTTCTGGTCTAGTGGTTTGTATTTTTAATAGGTAAATATTTATGTGTTACACTGAGATTAAGCTTCTTTGGGTCACTGTTATGCATTTTAGCATATTGATCAAGGTGTGTTTACATAGTGAATTGGATAAGAAAAGAATACTCAAGGCTGTCTTATGAGGGAACTGAAGGAGAAATTTTCTCAAAGTTATCCTTTTCACATAATTTTGCCTGTGTTCCCTAGCAGGTATAAGGTCACTCTGCAAGTCCTGCACCTTTATTTCTTTATTAATAAAAACTCTGAGGGAAGGGATGTTATGCCCCTTAGCTCCATTCCCAGTGGAGCTGATACCTTGCGCTGTCTTAACTGGGTAATACATCCTCCTGTATGCTTTATAGCCCATGAAGGGGATTCTGCAGAGCTTGGGGATGGGGAATCTTATTTCTGTGGCGAAGAGAGGAGGCTAGTACTGCCTTCCCAGCACTTTTCCAAGCACGATTGAGGGGGCCCTGGTGCAGGCAGAGGTGTCCCCGGCACATTCTCACCCTCCTTATTCCAAACCTCACAAGTAGCTGCCTAAAAATGTATTAATTTTCATCCATGAGTTTAGGGTCTTGATTTTTTTTTTTTAATTTAACATCCTACAGTAAAATAAAGGAAATGTAAATGCCAAGCATTGAATATGAATAACTCCGGGCTATGACTCATACCCATAAAAGTGAGGAATTTTTAAGGGAATGGCTTGAAAACTGACCAATGAACCTAAAAGGTGGCTGAAAGCGGAGCCACATCCTTGCTCAGACTTGTGTGTGTGCACATAACTGTATATCAAAATCACGCATAATTGTATATCAAAATCAGAATAGGCCTGAGGCTGCCTTTCTTGTCTCTTTCAGCCCACTGTGCAACTAGGTTAAGCAGAGTAGCGGAGCTCGCGTCTCTGCTCATTGTGCTGCAATGTCTGTGTCAAACCATAGGTTAAAAATGTCTTGCTTTCTTGCATTTAATTAAAGTTCATTTGACTAGAGATGGTACGTCTTAAACTGCCGTAGCCTAGGTTCAAAATTAGATGATACAGTCTTGAACATCGTTATGTCAGAGTAGTTTCTAATTTTATCTTAATTTTATGGTTTTAATAAAAAAAAATAATTAAAAAAAGGGTTCAGAGTTTCTATGCTAGGAGTCTTTTGTAAACATCATTGAAGTGGATCAGTCTTTCACAAATCAGTTAATAAAACTGCACTGTAGCAGATGGGGGATGTCTAGGCTCACATTATCCTCAGTATCTTAAATGCTTATCTGCTTTCTTGTGTCTAAATGATAAACTGTTTTGAGAAATCATATACAATAAAATACTTTGACTACATCTGTGGGTGAGACGAGGAAGGGGAAGTTCAGAAAGCAGTGCCCTTTATTTGTATTGGATTATCCAAAAGGCTTTTGCTAGTACAAAAAACCCCCAACAAACCCAGCTCAAAACCAACAACAACCCTAAATAAAAACCTATCAGATGTAAGTTTTATATTGTCCTGATTTGCTGACGGAATTTAAAAAATGCTGCTTATGTTTATATTTGTACAGGTTATTGCCTGAAAATCTCAACATCATTTATAAACTCTCTAGATCTTTCTGTGTGTTTATACAACCCTTATCACCAAAATATCTGATTGTATCCATAGCCATTTATTGAATTTTTAAAAATTCTATTAGTAAGTGTAACACCTTTGTGAGATACTAGTAGTTAAGCTTTCAGAACACACGGGGAATGTAAGTCTCAGTTTCTGCTTTCATCACTTCCAAAGCAGACACTGTAGTCAGCTCTTTTCATTACTTAGTAGTGCAAGTTTTGGGTCAAGTATGCCTTTAAAGCTAAGCTAAAAGTTTCCGTTGATAGTGTCAAGCTAACTGCTTGGTTAGAAGAGATGAAAAACTGTAAGTTAAGAAGTTTTAGAAAACAGCAACAGTGATTTGAAATAGTTCCTTTAAATCTCTCTGAGATTTGTAGCCGTACCTAACAGTATTCTAAAGGGTGAAACCATAACTTCAAGTGAAGGGCATGATTTTAAGCTGAAGGACTTTAATCTTATTGCTAAACAGTAGATATAAAAACATTCATTTCCTTGTTTTTTCCTACATATTTGAATATGAGTGTGCAAGTAGCCTGAAAGAGAAAACTTGCTTAGATTTTCTTTACAGAGGGAAATTTGTATTTTTTTAATACATCTAGTCAGAATTAAGTGATTGGAGGTACAAAAAGATCCCTGGGGTTTAACAGCTTGATATATATTTATTTAGTTAGTTTTAATTTTATTTTTTTTCAAAGAATTTACCTAACACAGGTAAGAAATAAAAGGTTTTATTTGTTTAACCTATTTCTTTATCTGCAATGTTTTTAATAGATTTTTGATGCAGCTGGAGGACATGGATTTGCTGGTGTCCAGCATTCAGCCAACTCTGCTGAGGTAAGATACGCCTGTTCCTGAATGTATATCACTAAGTGTACAAGGCTGGTTCAGAAACCCCTCAGAGGCTCATAAAATACAGTTAGTGTTAGATGGCAGGATTATAATTCCGCTAGTGAAACCCCTTTAATGAACGTTTCCGGACATGCATGGTAACCTTTTAAAAAAAGACCCCTAGAAGCTTCTTCACAACGCTAATCCTCACAGTGTGTACACTGAGGGAGATTTGGAACCAAGCTTGTTTGAAAACATCCTTCACAGTATGGCAAAACCCAAGGCGTATTTTTCCCCTTTGCCTATATTTTGAGTATAAAGGCAAAGTAAATCTAATTAACATCTGTGGAGCATGCCATCAGAGAAGTGTGAGTTAATGTATAGCTGGAGACTGCCTAAGTAAAGGAAGAGGAATCAGCATCCCCTCAACAGTAAATAGCCGTGGTTGGTTTTCTCCAGTGCCCAGGAGGAGGAAAGCTGCTTCTCACCCCTGCCTGGCATGAGTCACGGTCCCCTCTCAGCTCCCACAGCCTCCCTGGGAATAACGTTGCTGTCCCTCAGTCTGGAAGCAAGAAGGACGCTCCAAAATCCGTAATTGCATACACGTAGGGCCACCAAGTGTTGTCTTTGTACTGCAAGGCTTATGCAGGCAGAATTCTTCTCCCTCAGTAGGCTTGTGCAGAGTCCAAGTAAAAAATTCAAATTAAGTCTTAGCCACAGGGCTTCTGGACTTTATTTTCTGTATGGTGTAGCTGGATTTCTTTAATGGCAGCATGTGCCAGACTAAAAGAGAGATTTGTCTTCCCATCTACTCCCTGTCCGTTTTTCTCCGTTTTTCCCTGAACCAGATATTCCACCAATGCCATTTAAAACTTGAAGAAGACTTAAAAAAAAAAATCATACTACAGTACTGTTCCCTTTCAGCTGAGTTTGTGTACCAGGTACTAGACAGAAAGTCAAAAGCTGCATTTAAAATGAAGTATTGCTCTTGAAAATGATTAACTGTAATGAAGAGCTGTAATAAATCTCGTGAGGAAGGTTTGGGCAAAGTTCATAATTTTTCATAAGTTTTTATGTTGTTTTTTTGTATCATTATGTACTACATGTTTTATTTTCTCATCAAGTGCATTCATTTACTGTCTATGTAAGAAAGAAATATGTAATTATGCAGCAGTTATACCACTAAGAGAGGCATCTCCCACTCACAGCTGCTAATCCTATAATGCTGTTTTGCCTTCTGAAGGTATCTTCACATTTGGTCTGTTTTTTTGAAGAATTATATTGAAACACCTGAATTCCCTTAGTTACTTTACCACTTGCTTGTTATGTCCTGAGGTGGGCAAGTATTTAAACCAAATCACTCCTCTTTTTTCAAAATAAATTATAATTATGAGGGATTTCTGGGTGAAATTATCTCCTGTTGGGAACAAAATCCTTCAGAATGTACCATTGGGTGTGGCATGAGATGGCATCCAGTTTCCACCCCAGAGACAGAAAACACAATTCATTCCTGTCCAGTCCTGTTAAAACATGGAAGAGTTTGGTCTCTCCTAATCCCAACAAGACACAAAATCTCTTGGGTGCATGCCCTGAAAGTTTCTTCCAAAGGGCTGTGATGCCAGTCCCTCAGTTTAGAGCTGACACCGTTAGGTTTGGAGGTTGGTGATGGGTCTCCTGGCCTCTGGCTTAATAAGCACATTTGGCCTTGCTGAAACCATTTGAGGAGACAAAGAAAGGTTTTGAAGGTGTCTCAGGGAAGAGATGAGGTCTGACTTCTTGACCCAGCTCTTGCAGCAGGGGTTATGTGTTCTCCGTAGCTGCTGGATAAAAGCCACCTGCTCCAAATTTGGGCAAGGGCTTGCAGCCTCACTTCCCAGGTAGAGGGTTGAACTTGGGGGAAATGTCCCTGCAGATTTTGAGCCAGATTTTTATGAAGTTTATCAGGGTTTGTTTCAAGGCTAAAAAACCCACCCCAATTTAAGTGCTAAAATAGAATTTTGGAGCTCAACCTTATTTCTAGAAAAATATTATTATTATTATCTCAACCTTATTTCCAAAACCTTTTTTTTTTTAATGGGAATTAAATACAGCGTGGGCATTTTTAAGATCCTGACATTTTAGTGAATCATAGAACAACTCAGAAATGACTCACTGTGACTCTGAAAACCGTTACTTTGGCATCAGCCCAGTTTCATTGGCTGATTTTGAATAAAACAAAACAAAACCAGCATCAAAACCTTTGTAAAATGCTACCTGAAGATCTCAGTGAATGATGACGAGTGAAGTCTGCCACGGAGGCTGTGCTTTCCCTGGAAAGGATGATAAAAACAGGCAAATAGTGGGGAGAAATTATGAAGTAACCTATCGGTCCTGCAGCAGCCCTGTGGCACAACGTGTGACAGTCTGCAAATCCTGGCACCTATTTCTGGAAAATTGGATGGGTAGTTATAACTTTATGTGGCAATGAATGAATGAAGTATTGTGGAATTAGTCACTGCAGGCATAACAGGAAAAAAAAAATCTCTATGTCAGATTTTCTGAGACGGAAAATGTGGATGAAGCAACAGTACTTGACTGCAGTTAAAGTACATAATCTTGTTTAATAACAAAGGTGGGTTTATCTCAAGGTGTGTGCTTGAGCACTGGTGTACATAGCAATGAAAGCGAAGTATCCCACATTGACTACTGAACTTTCTGTCCTGTCTCAAAAGCTTCTGGGAAAAGGGTGACCTTGAACCTATTTCTCATCACCTTTCTCTGTGTTTTGGGTTCGTTTTTTTTTCATCTCTGGCAATAATGAGTTTTATTTCAGTTGCACAGATTTGAAGAACTAGTGTTGCAGTGCAGTAAACCATGGTGGTAGTTACAAACCTCTGAGCTGCTGGGAGCATCTCCCTAGCTGAGGCAACATAGCTTTGGTTTTCCCTGAAGGAAGGCACTGGAGAATTCAGTCTGACTCGTTCCTGCTCAGCTCTCTCAGCCTTCCCTTTCTCCTTTCTGTTATTTGCACCGTGGAAGCAGGTCAGCATTTATTCCCAGGTGCTTGATTTAGTGGTGTCTGAGAGAACCATGCTTCTATGGGAGTTATCTTCTTCAACCACACTAGTGTTAGGAGCAGTCTGAAACCACAACCACCAATGTGAAAATTCACCTGATGTAGATTTCTTCACTCCATTCATTGCAGTAGCATAACAGAATTCCTGTTATGTGTAATAGTTGCTGGATTTTAGTAGGATTTCCGTGGACCTATGTGAATTGAAATTTCATTTTCAACTAGTTAAAAGGCCAGTTGAGCAAGAGGCGTGAAATTCGTGAATGTGATTAGTTCACTAATATTATGCTGCCAAAACTAGCATTATTCTGGCATAAAATTATTACTGTGCCGTACTCTGGGTCAGTTACAACCTGAATTTCTGCATTGTTTGGTAATTACCTGAATAGGATTGCTTACTGCATAATTTTCACAGTCATGGTGGTTATTTGGAAAAACAAAATAGTACTGGTCTCCCTGTTGCTACTGGTAGATTGTTGTCAATAACTTTGCTGCCTGTAGCAAGGGAAGCAGTCCCTGTGCAGTGATTTTCCTGCAGCTTTTAATTGCAGTGCACTCCTGGGCTTGTGCCCCTGCTGAGCCAGAAGGAAGAATTGCATAATCAAGGGGCTTTATGGAGGCAACAAAAGCCGTGAACCCAAACAGGAAAAAAAAACCAAACCAAAACTAACAACAAAAACCCAAAAGAAAAAGCATTGAGGAGGAAAGCACTTCTGAGAACAGCTCAGGATATCTTAACATATGTCTCTGGTGGCAGTTTTGCCACTTTGCAGGGTTTTTGTCCCTTTCCATTGACTGTGAGGGGAATCCAGGGAGCCTGTCTCCATAGACTTGAACGTCTTGACATTTAAGTGATGTGCTCAATAGGCAAACCCAAATATATAGGTTAAATTCTCAGTTTTGAACAACTCTCAGTGTTTTTCCATCTCCTTGTGTGGCTTCCTTTGAAATGCATAGCCTGAAGTGCAGCACAGAAGAAAGTGTGAAAATGGAAGGGTGAGAAAACAACAAGGAATTTATTCAGGGTGGATGTTGTTATTTGATCAAGTGGAGTGGCTTTGAAACAAGGGTGAATGTGAACCAAAGTGGTAAACAGGATGATACCCTGTGCTAGCTATGAAACAGTATGTTCTTAAACTGTAAATAGAATAGGAGCTCTTTATTCCTGTTTTAGTCCTTTATTAGGCTATGGCAGGCCTTGCTCCACAGTGCTCTCTGCTGGAAGTTTACTATGTTATCATTTTCTGTCAAAATGACAGTAATTCCGTTCTTTTTGCATTTGTCAGTTAGGTAGATTTGTAGTAGTCAGTTCTTTTTAAGAATTTATTCCTTGTGTGATATTATGCCAGGTAGCTAAGTATTTTCACTTCAAGTTAAATCAACAATTAATATGATATAAAGGCATAAAAGCCCATCATGGGAATGCAGAGGAAGTACAATCCATTCTTAAGAAAATCAAGCCTTCCATAGTGAATGAGAGCAGGTAACAGAACTTTGTCCCTGTCTTGCCATGTGGAAATACATGTCTAAATACATATCCACTGCAAATTGCCAATGTAATTGTACTTTTGGGGTTTATTGCAACATCCACCTAATGTTGTATGTTTCTTCCTTGTTTCCGGCAGCAAGTCGATGACTTTTTAAATGTCTACTGCTCAGTGCCAGAGAGCATCCAGAAGGAGGGTGCTTGGGAAGCACAGACTTATGTCCATTTCTGTGATGGCCAAGGAGTGGCACTGACCCTCAAGCCAGAGCACAGGGTGGAAGATGTTTTGTCTTTGGCATGCAAGGTACTCATTTTTTTTTGTGTGCGATTGCACCTTGTCAATAGCTGTGGGATTGAGAAGGAACAAAATACATTAGAGGATGCCTAAATAGTGAGAGTGTAATAGCAGCATCTCCCTGTCACTGTATTAAGGCACATTGCCGTGTTTCCTTTAGTTGTGTTATTTATGTGTTGTAGCCAAGGTAGCAGGGTTGTGGGAAGGTTTTCAAGAAGCATTGCTTGAGGCAGGGCACAGTGCAAACTTAAAGAGCAGTGACAGTTTGCCAGGTAGTCATCCCCTGAGAAATCTCAGCACATGTCCACTCTACATTATTATTGCAGTGCACCCATTTGTTCTGTGTAAATTAGCCACAGGGGAGTAACGGAGACTGGTTGAGTTAATGCTAGGAGATGAAGACATTTAAGACTGCTGTTACAGAGGCTATCGTATATATTTGCTTCTTGGGACAGAAAACTGAGTCACAGGTTGAAGGTAAAGTAGAAATACCAGTTTTAACTGCACTCAAAAGACCAGCATCGCTAGAACATCGTAGTGTACCTAGTGTCTGTCTCTCCACATGTCAGTGCTTGAACTTAGCTCTAACTTCATGATTTAAGTCACTTAAGTTAAGCAGACAAGCTTTTGAGAATACTAACTTTTTACTCCCAAGTTCTGTTTTCTGACAACTGGTAAATATAGTTTATTTACTTCATAAGGAAAGGCAAAAACCAGGAAAGAAAGGAGTCCTGCTCTGTACAAAATCCAGCTGTAGCTTTTGGCATAGGTTAGTGTGAACTTTCAGGTGAGCTCATTCAGCTGGTGTGAAGTTAATGAATTTTGAGGCCTTTAATGGAGGAAAGTACCCAATTTAATGGCTTTTTCCACCTGGTAATGTTGTAAATAAAAAAAATATGAAATTATTTTAAAAGTTTTTTAAAAACTAGGGTTAACTATAGTTTTTAAATCAAAATAAGCACACAGCTATAGTCAAGTAACAATGCGTCTCCATGACATCACTGAGAAGAAATTTTCTCATTGCTTGTCTTGATGGAAACTGAATCCTGGAGAAACAGTTCATTGCCTGGCTTTACTTTTTAAAATTCGCTTTACTAGGCTAAGGGGATTGTCTGAGGCATTATGTGACCACCAGATGGCACGGTAGAGCTGAAACATTTGGAAATGGTTAACAGTGACATGCAGGACCCCTGAAAAAATAAATAAAACTTATAAATGTCAAATTAAGTTGAAAAGGAAATTCCTTACCTCTCTTACTCCATAATTCAAAAATATTTTGTAACTGTAAAGCTGACTTTTAATTTTTCAATCTCTGTATTGCATGAAAATTTTGTTTTAAATTATTTGGATTTTTTTCTTAAACATTTTTCTGTTTTATTCTTTCTTTCTATTCTGTGTGTAAAGCTTTTCATAAGCATTCTGTAATGCTGAATACTTTCTGCTCATCTATCCTGGTTCTTTTCCTTCTTACATTTTCATTATGCTCTGGTGAGTGTAAGGAATCTTTCTTCTTAACAGAACATGTTTGACTGTTATGTGTATAAGGATAAAATTCAAAGGAGTTGTTTGTTTTTTTCCCTTCATTCATGCTTTATGGGGTTTATATTTTTCTCATTTCTGTTATCCATCTGAGGCTTTTGGATAGCACATACAGAAAAAAATGTGCATTTGAATACATTTGTTCAGGATATAGAACACATGCAACTCATAAACTGTTACGCATAATAAAATGTAAAGGTAATTACTAGTTACTCAGTAGGTTTAGATTTTTTAAGTTGCAGAGATGCATTAAAGAGGTTAAGTAACCCTAAGGAATAAATGTTGCTTCCTCCTGTTTTAGAAATGTATATTAATACGCTAAAATGAGGTGTTTTGTGCAGTGCTCATCAGCATCCTGATTTTCAGAGGGACTCCCATCAGGGGCTCCGCGCTTTCAGGCTAATATCCTTTGGGAATATTCCTATTTCCCTTTGATATCCTGTTGAGATGGGATTTTTGCTTTGACCTCACGTGGTGAAAAAAAATAGGCAAAACTCTCTGATCGTAGTTGAAACCCAGCAATAAAAATAAAATCCAATAAATGCAAACCCTTAGGGACCTGCTTCCCATCCCATCCCCTCTCCTAACAGCCCATACATGCATATGCATTTTCTACATCAGAAGAAAAAGTTGCTGAGCAGAACTGAGTCATTAAAGGTAGTGACAGAAAAAGATGGTTGTGAGTGTAAGTTCAAAAGAACAGAAAACAGTCGTGATAACTTTGGAAACATATAGCAGTGCTCAGTTAATGCAATAGCCAAGACATAGAGTTTATGAAAGGATTTGGGAGGATCATAAGGGAAAATGGAAATTGCACTTGAAACTTATCTTCTAAGCAATGTGGCTAGTTTTGTTTGTATCACAAAAATAGCTAGAAAATGACTGCTTGAAGGTTTCTTTTGCATGATTCCTAAAGAGCTTTTTGTGCATGTGTGTCGCTTCTTTGTCTTCTGGGATTCTGGAAATAAATAAAAAATCCCAAACCCCATTCTCTTTATTCCTTAGATGAAACAGCTGGAGCCAAGACACTATGGCCTACAACTCAGAAGACTGGTTGATGAAAATACTGAGTATTGTGCTCCTGAACCGTACGAATATATAGTAGACCAGGAAAGTGTGACTCCTTTTAGATAAACTTCTGTGATGTCTGTAGCTATAGTTGAATTATCACCCAAGAATATGTGTGATTTGGATCTAAAGTAAAGTTTTAAAGTTCTGTATTCTGCCATCCTTGTTCACACAGTCCATGCCTTTGCAGACATTCGGGTGACTAGGCACTACAAGCACTCTCTTCAAGAACTGTCTGAAGATTTAAGCAGGGCTTCTGGTACAATAACAAAGTGTCAGTCTCTACTCCGGGCTGAGTCTTCTATCTTTAACTTACTCTGCATTTATTCCCACTGATACCAGTGATGCTTGCACAGTAACACAGTTCTCTGTGTAAAGACAGCAAGTTTTAGCTCTTTGTTGATGTAAAGAATATTGTGCTTATTTCCCATGCTGTACCATTGGGGTTTGTTGCTTGCAGTTTCATAATTTTATGACTTCTGTAACTGTTTTCTTCCAACAGGTGTATGATGAAATAGAAATTTGTCCATTAGATGTTTTTCATGTCCATCTTACAAAGACTGAAAACATAAGCGATTTTGGTAAGTTTAACCAAAACAGCTCTCAGAAATTTTTCTCTTTGTTTTTCTCATTGCTTACTTTCTCTTCCCAGGAATTTTCTGTCTCTTGAGAGCAGGTAGAGCCATCCTTGATAGCTCGAAAATCTGAGTCTGCAAAGGACTTGAGGCATTATAAGACCCAAACCAATTGTTTTACACTGGCAAGAACATTTCTTTTGTCTTTGGGAAAGGCCCACTTCCAATAGATTTCAATCAGGCCATGGTGAAGGTTTTTTTGGTGGTGGAATCATCTGTTGGAACAGTATCCACAGAGTGTCCTTTGATTCAAATTCTGGCAGGCTTTTTATCCATGGGAGACTGTTATGCCTAGGAATAATTACATGCCTTGCAAAGATACCTTTGTAAGGCAGCTCTGTGCTGTTCTTTAGCTGCAGACCAACTTTTTATACCAACTTTGTTGGTATAAATTATTCCTTTCTGGGCTGTCTCAGTCTCTGGTCTATATGGATTTGCTGCTTTATAGTATGGGTTTGCAGGTTTTGGATCTGTTTAAGACACCTCTATGTCTGGTGGACGCGGTGCGGAACTCCTACTGTAACAGTGAGCTGTGTTATTGAAATGTCACATGAGGCTAAGGTAGAAAATACTTTATTTGAAATGTAATTTTTTTTTTTTTTTGTACAGCACATGGGTTTTTTTATATGACATTTCCTGGAAGTTGTATTAACTTTAACAGGCTTTACAATGGCAGAAGCAATGTGATAATTTTTCTATGCTCTGTACATGTGTTCTCAGGAGGAGTATCCTCCCTCTGATTGTGTAGTGTCTGCACAAAATAAAAGGGAAATGTTTCCAAAAAAGTTTAATTTATTTAAACCTATTTTATTTCAGGTTTTGCTGTCACGGCACAGGTTGATGAAAACCAACATCTCACCCGTATATTTGTAAGTGATGTTCTCCCAGATGGACTGGCATACAATGAAGGTATTGTATCATATTTATGTTTAATAGTGTACTTCATTAATTTTGAAGTCCCAGAACATGAAGGAGCTTTAGTACTGCTGTTGAAATGGTTCTTGCTTTTACTATTCATAGTTTTCTTTCCTGAAGACCATGGAAATATGTGATGTTGCTGACCTTAAAAGGCAGTGGTTGCCACTGTTTAGATTTATATAAAAGCTGATAAAGACTCCATCCGCTGTTGTTACAGTTTTGTATGAATTATTTGATCTGCCTGACAAGTGCCTTGTTCTTCCCAGATAATGAAATATGTGTTATGGTGCTGTACAGAGTCATGAGGGGTACCTCTAATCTAATATTCTTGAAAGTTGTGCTGTACTCCCACCCACCAAATCCTGTAGCATCTTTAGAAAGAAACAGCTCAATTGCTGTACTCTGTGTAACACCTTTCAAAGTAGACATGAGGTCCAGCTCTATAATTACAGCACAAATAAAGCTCCCATCGGTTCTAATGGACTTGTGGTAGTTTTAGACTATTTGAATTAAGACCATAAAAATAAAAGGTGAATAAGGTTTGGTTTGTGATCCTTTACATTTTGTATTCCCTTATTTTTATTTTGTTTTTCTTCTTTCTTTTCACATGCTCACAGGACTCCGAGTAGGCAATGAAATACTGAACATAAATGGAGAGGCTGTTTCCAATCTTGACCTCAGGCAGATGGAGTTACTGTTTTCAGAGAGAAACGTAATGCTTACTCTGAGAGTGAACCATTATGGGACCCAGCAGCCTTTATGTGCATCCTGGTCAGACGGTGACATTTCTAGGGACCCAAAGTGTTTGTTACCCCCTCCAAACCAGTCTCAGCTCCTGGAAGAGTTTCTAGATAACTTCAGAAAGAACACAGCAAATGGTAAGAGGTTTACAATAATTTTATTACTTTCACCTCACTTCAAATATTGCTGTTTTTTAAAACTCAGTTATGTTTAAAATTGTTTTAAGTTCCATTTATGCCCCTTATCTGTTTGTTATTTTGTTATTTCTAGAAAGTAGAACAGAATATGATAATTTCTGCAGAGAAATTATATTCTTTTAATTCTCTTAACTGTCCTGTATCATCTCGGTTACCTCCAATACTTGACTTTCAGAGGCAGAAGTATTATTCTGTATTTAACATGTTTTACATATGGTAATGTATCACATACATTAAGGATCCCTTAAATGCAATAATGATCTTCACCTCAGAAAGGAGTAATTTAGCTCAGCTCCCACCCAATGATATTATCATGTTCCCATTGGATACAGCCACTCACTACCTAGAAGAAAGCCGATGAAAACAGCTTCCTCAGGGCTTGTTTTGTTACTTCCTGCTCATATTTCTTACTCAGTGTAATACAACTGTATTAAACATCAAATGAAGGACATAACCTAATAGCGCTGTGTCAGGGTGAGATCCTGTTGGGTTTCTGTATGAGGAACATGAGGCAGGGATGGTGCCAAAACCCTGCATGGTAAGGAGTGCTCCTGAGGGACACTCCAGTCTTGCAACCCAAGGAAGGTGCCAATGGTCACTGCTGGTTTGACTTTTCAGCTGAGAATAGGAGGTGGCACATAGAAGGTCACTGCCACTCTGGGTGGATGAGAGCCATGGTCAACCTTCCCTTCCTTTAGTTGACCTTACTTCACATGAGAAATACATCTTGTGACACCAGAATACTTGTAAGTGCCTGTCTGAAATAGAAGGTCCCCTTCCTTCCCATACCTTGACTATTTTTCAGACAAGATAGAAGCAAATTTAACTCTAGTTTCTTGAGTGTAAATGGTGCAGTTTTCTTGCTGCACCTCTGGGTGATGCTAGTAAAATTCTGCAGGAAAGCTAGCCAGGCTGTGCGAGGAGAGCAGCAAGAGGTACAAAAAGGGATCGATGATTTTTGTATATAATTATGGTAGCAAGTGTTTTCTGACTGGAATTTTTTCATAATTAAAAATGGGAGAAGAAAAGGAATCACATAGGAGACACTGCTAGAATTGATTTAATTATAAAGCAATTTTATTAGGTCAGCTTTTGAAATTAAAAGAAATCTGAATACAAGATTTGTGATACAGTAAGTAGCATCTCTCTCAGGGGCCTTTGTTCAATTTAAAATGCCATTAAATTGACTAGTGGCACATAAAAATTACTGTCATAAAATAAAAATTATGATAGAGTTAATTAATTACATAATTATACTATGACTATAATTCAGCTTGTTGGCTTGATATCATAGGCCAGCATTACCTGGAGTATTCAGTATAATAAATGTGTGTGTCCATTCACTAAATTCCTCATTCCTCTGGGATAAATTCGCAACCTATGCAAATATTCTATTATAATAGGAAATTACTGGAGTATGTATTATGTTCTAAGTACTAGTGGATAAAGGGACAGAGTATATTTGCTTTTCTGCTTAAAAGCAGCTAAGGAAGATTTATTTTACTCTGAAAGGGAACAAATAGTTCTAAACTAAGCTTTGTGAGAAGGACTTTCATGTTTATTGAATTCGGTGCTTAGTGTCTGATCACCTGATCAGGTTCAAATGGAAACAGAAAAAAATGGCATTACTTTGAGTTAATAGATAATCATAAAGGGTTTAACTGTTCTATGTCCTGTTACTTACTCAGGAATTGAATAAGATTTTAGATAAGAAGAGGGAGAGTATTTAATGATCCAAGCAGGGATTTGGAGGCCAGAGACTCTTAAATTCACATTCAGTGTTTAATAGTGTTCTGTCTCCTTTGGTAGAGTTGAGTGAGTCACTCTTAAGACCACAGTTTTCGAAAAAATTTCTGACATTTCTTGTCCCTGTTGAGCCTCTTTTTCCAAAGCAGCACCTTTGAAAGTCAGTGCCAATGGAGGGGGACCTTTTCCAAAAATCAAGCACAATTTGGCTCCAGGTACATACCTGGAGTTAAAAACCTTAATGTTTCTGCTGTCACCTCCCTGTTTTTTAACAATTAACTAACTCTATTTATCCTCTTGAGTACTATGAGTATTAGTGAGCTAAAATTAACAATGTGCTTGGAAAATGTAAGTTTTCAGCACGAAGACATGCAGTAATGCCCTAATATCACAGAATTATAGAATGGTTTGTGTTGGAAGGGGCTTTAAAGATCATCCAGTTCCAACCCCCCTGCCATGGGCAAGGACACCTCCCACCAGACCAGGTTGACCAAAGCCCTGTCCAATCTGGCTTTGAACACTTCCAAGGAGGGGCATCCACAACTTCCCTGGGCAACCTGTTCCAGTTTCTCACCCTGCCTGGTGCTTGGTGACAACTACCAGCCAAAAGCAAAACAGAATTTGCTTTCAATCACTGGCTTTGTATAACTTGGGTGGTAATAGCTTGTCCGCATTTGTTTACAGTTTTGCAACTGCTTAGCGTTACTTTGATAAATGCCTTTTCCTACGTATTCTGCTATGCTGAGGATGCCCAATTATACCTTATATCAAACTTTGGCAGTCTTTACTGTACAGAAGGGAAGTGATTGGTTTTCTCCAAAGCCACAAACTCTGCCACTCCTAAAAACCATTTCCAGGGAATTTTCTGTGAGAGTGATTCATTTTCTCCAAGGGGTTGCTATACCCTTGTAGCTGTATTTTGGACCTGCTGTGGTCATATCATTTGATCTCCCACGTGGCAACGCTATGTGCTCACTGCTTAGCCACTTGGCTAGTAACAGGCCTATCCTGGAAAAGAAATGAGGTGAAATACTTTTAAAAAATGCACTCATAAATGTGGAAAACCAAATAACAGAGCAACTACATTTGCTCCAAGCTCCAGTGCTAAGGAAATTAAACAAATATTTGTGTAGAATTAAAAAATGAGGGAATTGGACTGGAGTTCTTACAACTGTGGAGGAAAAAAATGCCTCATTTTAAGGTGGCATGGATATTTGAGGAGTAAAGAACAGAGGAGGCATAAGAATTGAAAACTGTATATTTAGGGCAACACCATGTGGGTTAATGGTATATCTATAGAGTGCTAAGGCAGAAGGTAGAAGCATTAGTAGGTGTGAAAACTCATTGCAGTGTATGAGTTGCTGTCAGAGTTGGGCAATTATTTCTTTTCCCCCGGCAAGTGGGTTTTTGCCAATAAAGCTGTCATTTCTGGTTAGCTAACACTGTTGAAATCAACCCTAATTTGTAAATAGATCCTGTTATTAAAAGAAAAAAAAAGTGTGGGGATAGCAGTTTAACAAGTTTCCATAAAGAAACCCTTTCATCTAGAAGGGTTAGAGAGCTAAATGGGAAATAAACCATTAAAAAAAAATTAAAAGTATAAAGATGGACATACTGTTCCTTTGCTCCTTCTTGTACTCCTGATCTTTAGGGAAGGATGCTTTCCTTCTGTGCAGGCTCTGGGTTCTTGTCCAGCCCATCTTTCTAGAGGTGCAGTCCCAGGAGCAGTGAAGAAGGCTTGGGTGCTGCTGATAAGGGGGAGGCTTACTCCTCCTCCTCTTCCTCTGCACTGCCTTAGCCCTCCCTTCCAGCCCCATAACACTTGTCCTGCCCCTGTGCTGGTGGCTGCACTTGCTGAAGCCCTTGATGAAGCTCATAAAGGAGAAGACTTTCTCTTTTTTTCTCCACTCCTGCAAACTCGGTGAGTTGAACTGGTGGGTGCAGGGTTTTTGACAAGGGCTGGAGCCAAGTAAGCAGGAGCAGGGAGTGGACAGGTGCCGGAGGAGAGCTGGTTGCAAGGAGAGTTACTGTCAGAGACGGCAAGCTCTCCTTCAGCCGACTGTCCCACAGAGCACCTCCCCAGCCATTTTGGGGCATGGGTTTTGCCCTCGGCTTTCCCACCTCTTGTGCTGATCCCCAGGCAGCAGCACAGTCTGGGATGTGCCTGTTGGAGTTGAGGTATTTCACATTGTAGGAAGCGTGGCTGGAGTCAGAGAGAGAGACACAAGCTTTGTGCTGCCTGACAAGTAGCTGTGTTGGAGAGAAGCAATGACATTTCAGCTCCTGATCTACTAAATATTGAGATATTTTTTGCAAAATTTAACTGCTTCAGGAGGAGGGTCAGTGGTTTGAACCTTCACATGGGAGGTGGGCTCTGTTTTCCAAGACATGAGCCATTTCTGATTTTAATCTTAGTATGCACATGCAGAAACAAAGCACATCAGTCAGCCACAATTTTAACTTTGATATGACTAAATTATTTTTAAAAATGTGTTTCTACTAATAATGGGTTTGGATTCAATTCCAAGGTACTTTCTGTTTCAAATACACTTGACTAGGTGGTTTAGATGCCTCTATAATGTTTAGTTGCAACTCCCAGCTTCTCCAGGAAACTTTTTTCCATTCAGCTTTGTCGGATACCACCAAGTTGAGAGAAGAAAAGGGAGACAGAGGTTGGCTCTGCAGGCAGCTGGCTGGATGCATGTCACTGCACAGAGCTCTCCAGGTAGCACTATCTGCGTCCTCTTCCAGCCCCAGCCCAGCCTGAATATCAGAAAGACCTATGTGTCCCTCTTAAGAAAAAAGATTAAGTAAGGAGGACATGAAGCTAAGGTGGTCTGAAGCCTCCAGCAGCTGGTGGCATTGCCTGGAGTGCTGGCTCAGACAGCTCTGCTTATTGCTCTTTGCCCATCGTTTTACCATAACGTTTAAAGCATTTAGTAAACAAAAGTAAAACTAAAACTTAACTGAAAAAATTTCTAAAATAACTTCTAGTTCTTCCCAAATGAGGTCCTGTTTGTTTGCCTAGCTGCTATTTTGACATATAAATTTTCTTCGTTGTGCAGTAGGGCATGGCCTTCATTGCACTGTGTGTGAAGAATCGAAGAAATTTGTTTTTATTCTTTCAGAGGAAACTCTTTAGAGCTCAGAATAGGTGAATATTGCTTCTTAGCTTCCCAAGTCCTGAAAACGCC